AAATGCTTCACAGCAGCACATGTTAAGACAAACTCACATTTAACAGGCACAGCCAGAGCAGAGATCCTCAGAGGAAGACAGAACCACGTCAAATATGTCCTTTGTAAGAACCTGATCAGGAGAGGCAGTATTAAGCATAGCAATGTCTCCAAGCACAGTTGAGATATAACCATTTAATATTTAAAAACACACTACAATATCAGTTTCTAATAAGAATTTTAAAATCTGCATAAAGGTTCAGCAATGGCACATCAGAATAAGCCACTATTATGACTTAAGAGATAAAAGGAAATAAGAGTTAGAGTGTGTTCCAGAATAATGAAAAAGAAGAAATAGATGGGGGGAGGGGAATACATAGAGCACATACTGAGCAGAATCAAGACAGACATAATTAGACAAAATTATGACTAACAACCTATACATTTCTGAAGATCATGAGTAACAAACTACTCTTGAAATTCATAGACAATGGCATCTCCTGGAATACGTTGCCAAGTCATCCACTTCCAGTAGTTTCTTTCTGTCTGCAGTCTTTCTACTTTCTTTTAAGAGCCATATCATGTGAAGAACTTCCCCCATACAGTATGCTATTTAATATTTTCACAGTTCCAAAGGTCCTCGTAACTTGTTTACAGCATGGGAATATGGAAGAACATCTTGCTTATTGCTTCTTTCTGTAACTAGAACAGGGCCAAGCTGTGCTTAAACTTGAAATCTATAGCTACCAAGGGCATAAACAACTATGTGCCTGGACAATGCACTATATGAAATAAAGTCAGACACACACATTTTTATGAATCAGTTACAGTAAAAACAATTGAGGAGAGTGATATTTTAAACCCTAACATTGATTTTGATACAAACATTCATGAATTAGACATACATACAAGGAATACATTCCAAGACTCTCCTCTCATGGATATCTGGCAACATGGATAATAGTGAACCCTATAATTTGACCATACTTGGACATGGACTTCACTTAGAGAGGCTCACACACTTCCTAGTTGTTGTTTTTTATTTTTTTTATTTTTTGCGCATGCGTAAGTAATCTATGTACCTTGCATGATATCTTACCCTCAGCTAGCAGCAACATATGAAATTATGTATAGCCATGTTCATTATTTGTCCATTTTCACCTACTCTGATAGTATGGTCCCAAGTAAGTCTTATCCATCATCAATGGTCATATTTCTTTAGCTGAAGATTTCAGGGACTGAGCTTCAAACCATATGCATAAATACAAATATTTTACCAGTGAACTACAGCCTGTGAATATATATGCAGGCAATCCCCGAGTTACAAACATCTGACCTACAAACGACTCATAATTAAGAACAGGGGTGAGAAAACAGGAAGAGAGAAAACTCTACCCCTCGAAAGGGAATTTCACTCTTGAAAGTTATCATGGGGAAAAGGTGTCTCCACTGAAGTTTTATCAATAATCTTTGTTTCAATTATCACAGGGTCAGAAGTGAAGTGAAACACCACCACAAACACCACCAGGGTGTTAACCCTTCCCTATGCTATCCAAACATGCACACACACACCTAGAGATACACTTAAAATGTACCTGTTACAAGTTACATACAAATTCAACTTAAGAACAAACCTACAGAACCTACCTTGTTTGTTCTTTGGGGACTCCCTGTACTCTATTTGCCCACACACATAACATAATATACACGAGAGACCCAAATACCCATTTAAAATGCACCAGATAAGATTATAACTGCTGTGAAATAAAAGTTATTTGCCGGGATGTTAAACTTCAGATTTGCTCCATCAATAATAATGATGATGATGATGATTTTATATCCCACTTTTCTCCCATGAAGAGACCCAAAGTGACTTCCAACATATTAAACATGGTCAGCAGAGGAGGTCCCACCCCTGTCCCAAGCACGGCTGCTGGGAACGAGAGAAAGGACCTTCCCCATGATCACCCAGCATCTCTGGGACTCCTTCCCTAAAGAAATAAAGATGGCGCCCTCCTTCAAAAAGCAACTGAAAGCTTACCTTCGCTCATTAGAATATGGAGAGAATGAGGATTAGATGATGATATATCACTACTATAGCCTCTGAATGAAAACTGTTGTTGCACTCGTCTTTGCAGACCAGTGGTTCCCAAACTCTTTTTGACCAGGGACCACTTTGACCAGGGGCAACTCTCCAACATTATTACCAAAAGGGTTACGAACCGGTTTTTGGTCAATTTTAGATTCGGTTTGGTTATTTGAGATGCTGATTCAGAAAATTGCATTGGATAGACCACATCAGCTCTGATTTTCTGATACAGAACATATGCCATCCAGTTTTTTGGTTTTCTGCTCACAGAAAACCATATTTAATAATGCAGAGCTGATGTGGGTGATCGGCCTCTTCCCTCCTGACATCCCTGTTGTCTCGGCACTATAAGAGGGTTTGAGAGACCAGTCGCTCTCATTGCTGTATGGTTTTGAAGCAATTGTGAGACCATATATCGTATTTTCGTTCTTGCGGACCACAGATTGGGAACTACTGTTAGTCTAGTTAACATCACTGGTTACATAATCAACTTACATATTTAAATGAACCGTTGGTTGCTCCTGTAAATTGATGCTTATGTTTATGTTTCTTTTTTTAGTTTTTTTCTTAATTATTTTTATTCAAATAGACATAAATTTGTATTTGTTGCATACAATACACTAATTTCCAGCTATTAGTGTTCAGTAATCATTACTCAGGTAATATATTTTCTTTAATGGGTCACAGTCTTCTATTTAAATAATACATATGAAGGTATCTTAGGCTCTTACATAACATCCACTTCTTCCTTGTCTACAATCTTATAGGACTCTCTATATACATTTTTAGTTTAATTTTACATTGAGATGTTGAACAGTTCTCTTAATAATACAATTACAGTTATTTTATGTTTCATGTGTAATGTTAGATATAATTTACTTGATAGGTAGTAAAGGTTTTCCCCTGACATGAAGTCCAGTCGTGTCCGACTCTGGTGCTCATATCAATTTTAAAGCCGAAGAGCTAGCGTTGTCTAGGTAATGTGGCCGGCAAGACTGCATGGTGCGCCGTTACCTTCCCACCGGGGCGGTACCTATTGATCTACTCACATTTGCATGTTTTCAAACTGCTAGGTTGGCAGAAGCTGGGGCTAACAGCAGAAGCTCACACTGCTCTCCAGATTCGAACCTGTGACCTTTCGGTCAACAAGCTCACAGCTCAGCGGTTTAACCCACTGTGCCACCCGGGGCTCCTAATTTACTTGATAAGTTTTGTTGTTGTTGTTCATTCGTTCAGTCGTTTCTGACTCTTTGTGACTTCATGGACCAGTCTACGCCAGACCTCCGTCAGTCGTCACCACCCTCAGTTCCTTCAAGGTCAATCCAGTCACTTCAAGGATACCATCCATCCATCTTGCCCTTGGTCAGCTCCTCTTCCTTTTTCCTTCCTTTTTCCCTGATAGGTTATGTTATTTAATTTGTGTTATGTCTGAATTTATTGCTTATTAAGGCATTGAATGTTTGCCTTTTTATTTCTTGGAATCCATTTATTTATTTATTGTTCTTATACCCCGCTACCATCTCCCGCAGGACTCGGTGTGGCTTACCAGAGGCCAAGCCCAACAACATCCATCCTGAGATAGGGTGGAATATAAATAAAATCTTATTATTATTATTATTATTATTATTATAAATACAGTACAAAACAACAGCGATTCAAACACATACATAAAACATAAACGTATGCTTTTTTGACCATATGCTGCTTTATCTGTTTCATGTTTATAATATCTGGCTAAATGAAATTTGTGAAAGAACTGCGATATTTAAAAACAAAGGCTTTTTATATTCGAGACCCCTAGAATCATAGAATCAAAGAGTTGGAGGAGACCTCATGGGCCATCCAGTCCAACCCCCTGCCAAGAAGCAGGAATATGTTGCCGATTCGGATCTAGAAGAGTACACTCGCCGTATCGAAGTTTAGACAGATGGCCCATCTCCTCTGTTTACACCTATAGAGGTGATCCTCGCAAGACGGAGCCTAGTCCACCCAATCTTGTCGCGAGTACTCGAACCTGAGGTGTGTGCTTATACACATGTCCACCACACTCCAGGGAGTTCCACTGCTGAACAGCTCTCACAGTCAGGAAGTTCTTCCTCATGTTCAGATGGAATCTCCTTTCTTGTAGTTTGAAGCCATTGTTCCGCATCCTAGTCTCCAGGAAGCAGAAAACAAGCTTGCTCCCTCCTCCCTGTGGCTTCCTCTCACATATTTATACATGGCTATCATATCTCCTCTCAGCCTTCTTTTCTTCAGGCTAAACATGCCCAGCTCCTTAAGCCACTCCTCATAGGGCTTGTTCTCCAGACCCTTGATCATTTTAGCCACCCTCCTCTGGACACATTCCAGCTTGTCAACATCTCTCTTCAATTGTGGTGCCCAGAATTGGACACAATATTCCAAGTGTCTCTAACCAAAGCAGATATCATGACTTCCCTATATCTTTGAAAGCAGGCCTGGGCCACGTGGGCCATCCAGGGTGGTTGTGAGCTGTCAACGTCCTCACAAGGCCCACAACAGCGCTGATAGTGCGTGTGTGGGAATGGGGTGTCTTTGAGAGTACATAAATACCGGGCATTGGTGCTCGTAAAGTGTCTACGGTGTTTGGACGGCTAGTGACGTTGTATCACAGCCCGGTCTTCTCGTAACTGTGGTCGCCTCCTCAGGCTCGCATATACAGCACGGTCAGTCCGCACATGCCATAATCCCCTCTTCGGTAAAAAACAGACACAACAAAATAACCTCCTTCCATATTGGGACCGTTCGCTTCCACAAACGGCGAGGCCTTTAAAAGAAACCCCAAACTTACCCGCCTCACGTCGCCTGGCCTCAGAATCCACGGAAACACGAACCGGCACCCGATACGCATGCGCGCGTTCCTCCTCCAGAAAGACAACCCTGCGCCGCGCATGCGCGTTGCACGGAGGCCGGCTCTAGCCAATGGGGTGAGGCCGGAAAGCAGAGTGGGCAGGGTCACAGGCGGAAAGACTGAGCCAAGGCAAGCCTGCCTGATCTGCAGGTACTTATGAGCGAGAGAGAGAGAGATCTGTGTTTATTGGGGTGCTGCTGGCATCAAGAGCTGTGGGTTGTCGTTTGGAAGCTCTTTGCTTTTAGGAAAGGGGTGTGTTTTTCTGCTTTGTGTGCAAGGGGGAGATTTAAAGAGGGGAGGCTCAATATTGCTTTTAAACAGGGGCTGGATGGCCATCTGTCAGGGGTGATTTGAATGCATTGTTCCTGCTTCTTGGCAGGGGGTTGGACTGGATGGCCCATGAGGTCTCTTCCAACTCTTTGATTCTATTACTGTTTTAATGCAGGCATGGGCAAACTTTGGCCCTCCAAGTGTTTTGGACTTCAAGTCCCACAATTTCCTGTTAGGAATTGTGGGAGTTGAAGTCCCAAACACCTGGAGGGTCAAAGTTTACCCATTTATTTTTATTTATTGTGTCGGGAGCGAACCAAAACAGTTGTATTGCATTAAAAACCAACAAGCATACAAACAAAACACAAAGTTTGCAGATTTGGTGTTCTATTCCGCGTTGGTTAGACCACACCTGGAATATTGTGTCCAGTTCTGGGCACCACAATTCAAGAGAGATATTGACAAGCTGGAATGTGTCCAGAGGAGGGCGACTAAAATGATCAAGGGTCTGGAGAACAAGCCCTATGAGGAGCGGCTTAAGGAGCTGGACATGTTTAGCTTGAAGAAGAGAAGCCTGAGAGGAGATATGATAGCCATGTATAAGTATGTGAGAGGAAGTCATTGGGAGGAGGGAGCAAGCTTGATTTCTGCTGCCCTGGAGACTAGGACGTGGAACAATGGCTTCAAACTACAAGAAAGGAGGTTCCATCTGAACATGAGGAAGAACTTCCTGACTGTGAGAGCCGTTCAGCAGTGGAACTCTCTGCCCCGGAGTGTGGTGGAGGCTCCTTCTTTGGAAGCTTTTAAACAGAGGCTGGATGGCCATCTGTCAGGGGTGATTTGAATGCAATATTCCTGCTTCTTGGCAGGGGGTTGGACTGGATGGCCCATGAGGTCTCTTCCAACTCTTTGATTCTATGATTGTTTTAATGCAGGCATGGGCAAACTTTGGACCTCCAAGTGTTTTGGACTTCAACTCCCACAATTTGCTATTAGGAATTGTGGGAGTTGATGTCCCAAACACCTGGAGGGTCAAAATTTACCCATTTATTTTTATTTATTGTGTCAGGAGCGAACCAAAACAGTTGTATTGCATTAGAACAGTGTTTCTCAACCTGGGAGACGGGACGCCTGAGGGGGTCACGAGGGGGTGTCAGAGGGGTCACCAAAGACCATAAGAAAACACAGTATTTTCTGGTAGTCATGGAGATTCCATGTGGGAAGTTGGAGCCAATTCTATCGTTGGTGGAGTTCAGAATGTTCTTTGATTGTAATGAACT